ATTGATTGACTCAATAAAGCAAGCCACACCCTTCAGTTTGAAAAGACTTGAGCAGGACAATTAATCATAGGATCTTCTGGAGGTCATTAATTCTTAGGGTTGCCATAACTTAGGAGAGATTTGAAGGCACACAACAACAGCAGTTTTCCTTAGGACTGCATCCAAAGACATTGCACATTAACTCTAGTGGTTTTTAGCTTACACAATAAACAATGCTACAACTGCCTTAATCTTTCTTTCTTTTATGTATACTGTAGCACAGTTTTCAATTAAAAGGGAAGTCTAACTAACTAAATAAATAATGTCACACTAAATTATCTTTCCTTTCAAGTTGTTCTTAACCTATGGTGAGTTGCTTAGTTGACACTGAGTCAACTTCTCTTTTTGTCTTGGATAAACAGATGAGTCTCTACTGTTGTACTAGCCACATTATTCATCCCATTAAGAAAGTTCAAACAAAAGCAAAATATGAACTATGAGAAGAATTTTTCCAACCCCCCAAACAAACATAAAAACACTGAGAAATACAAAGAAGTGTCTTTCTTAAACAAAAACAAAACCATACCACTTAAAGTATTACTTTGCTCTGAAATTAAACTGTAGATTGCATACTTTGGAATTGAAAGCTTCATGGTTATTAATCAAATAATATTTCAGTTATTTTTGATAATAGCATATTATGCTGCTATATTGGTTTGGCTGTTTATATAGTAAATGTAATCCATTTTCAGCTCTTGTTTGCAAAGAAACATTGTGTGAACACTTAACACTTAATAAGTTCCACTGAACTCAATCACTTTGATCTCCACATTGATGTGCTGTAATTAAAGGTAAAGGTAAAGGTTCCCCTTGACAATTTTTGTCCAGTCGTGTTCGACTCTAAGGGGCGGTGCTCATCCCCGTTTCCAAGCCATAGAGCCAGCGTTTTGTCCAAAGACAATCTTCCGTGGTCACATGGCCAGTACGTCTTAGACACGGAACGCTGTTACCTTCCCACCGAGATGGTCCCTGTTTATCTACTTGCATTTGCATGCTTTCGAACCGCTAGGTTGGCAGGAGCTGGGACAAGCGACGGGAGCTCACTCCGTCGCATGGATTCAATCTTACAACTGCCGGTCTTCTGACCCTCCAGCACAGGCTTCTGCGGCTTAGCCCACAGCGCCACCACGTCCCTGCTGTAATTGCTTAATCACAAACATGTCTACTCTAAAGTAAGCCCCACTGAATGCAATTAAACAGACACTGGATTGCAGCCTTACGATTAATAATTAACCATGGGGATAATACAGGATACTTCAGCATCCTGGTTTAAGCAAGTGGGCCTCCATACCCTGTCATTTCAGTGATGTTTTCCTACAGTATAAGGAGGGCCTTTATTACTGTGCAATAAAATCTTCTTTTGCAACCATCCATCCAGTGTAATCACCCACAAGCACAGCCCAAAAGATACAACTACAAATGGCACACCCATTGCTAGTCAAGATGCATAACACTCTAGGGAATATCCGATTCAGTGCCTTAAGGCAGAAATTCCTATAAGCACACTTTCTTAGGAAGAAAACTACAGCAATAATAAAACTATACAACTGCTGAACTTTCATGACGCTCCAAATCAGCTGTGTCTCACTCTTTCTAACGGTAGGGATGACCCTGGACCAGGGAAAGTAATACACTGAAAATGTTCTTCCTACCACTCCTGGGAAAAATTTTTTAAGAGTAAAACAACCGTATCTCAAAAGGCTTCTCAGTATTAGAAAGCTATTCTTCAGCTTTAAAAGGCCCAATGGTGGGAGTGGGGGAAAGAACAAGAAATGGAGCTGGCTGCAATTTTAGCACCTTGCTTTTATTGTCCTCATGTCGGGCACATCAAACCCTAGCCTGGATCCCATCATTTCTTGCCAGTTGTGAGCTGCATTTCAAAAAGATTTGGAACAATGCATCCACCTCACACCTCAATTCAAGTCCCGCAATGGCCTGTCAACGAGCCTCTTTGCTGCTCAGCAGATGGCACCCCGGGAAGCCCCCAAATAGCCCTAATGGCCGGCAGGATTAGACTCCCTACTGCCAAGTCCTTCCCTGATGGAGAAAGCAAAGTATTTATCCAGACTCCCTTTCCTTCCTTGTTAACTTAAGATGGGCAGAAGACATCATATATTCTAGAGAGCGGACGGGAGAGGAGGGGAAAGGAAGGCAGCAGGTAGGGTACGAGTGCATTCCACAAGAGAAAATCGGCAAAGCTGTGATATTTCTCAACTAGGCAGACTCCCCACTGAGACAAGCAGTATTTTCCCCCTCTAAACCTAACAATCTGAGCAAGTGAAGAAATAAAGAAAGGAAAGGACATTGGAGAAGGATGGGTTGCCAACTTCACTTGTGAGTAGAGCATTCATTGACACTCTTGATCTCCACCTTCCAAAGCATGGCTCAGAATAACCCATTCAGCCTATCCTGCCGAAATCTGGCACCCTCCAGATGTACTGCACTACAAAAACCATCATGACAATTGTGGATGATGAGAGTTCTGATATAAATTGTCTAGAAGACACAAAGCCAGAGAGGTCTCTTGAAAATGTCCACCAAGATGCTTGCTTTCTTCTCCTGGCCATTTCTTCCCATAGCACATTTCGTCTCGGACTCTTGAAGAGGTACAATGGGGAGGAAGAGTAGAACACCAGCTAGAGAAAGCCACTGGTGTCAAGGGCAATCTTGAACAGAGAAGTTGAGTGGTTGTAGTATGTGCTTTTCCCTAGCTGTTTTTCCAATGTTGCTTCCCCTCTCACCCCCCTTCATCCCCACTCAGTTCCAGAAGTATGTTTACCTTCCAAGCAAAGAGATAATAAAATAAGATGCCACTGCCAGTTCTGGAATCTCCTTTCCAGAGCTTTTTACATTGACACTGGATTAAACAGGGCTTAGATATATCTGGAACTGCTCAATCCTCAAACCACATTCTAGGCTAAGCCCTAGAACTGATTAAGAAAAAAAGTTTATCTGAATTTCTGCCAGATGCCATCTCCACAACACATCTGGAATGAGAGGACCAAAATTTGAGTGCAGAGAGCATGAGTTCTATACATTTTTTTAGCCTTGGCATGCCACAGCTTAAATGGTAACCATGGCTATTCCACGGAGTCACAGAAGTCACTGTGTAATCTTGAGCCGGTCATTTTTTTTCACCCTGATCTACCTGCCAGTGGAGAAAAGACAGGATAGAAATAATAAACCTGCCCAGGACTAAAAGAAGTTGCAACCTAACAGTATCTGAAGGACCATATTCCTCACTTCTGATGCAAGAGGTATAGGCATCCTTCAGTCCCGAGAGACTATGGTAACATGTAAGAGCACAAATAATACAGTGGCAACTTTACATGGGCCACTTGACAAACTGTACATTCTGGATTTGATTATCACTTAAGCGCAGGACAATTGTGTCCGTAGCTGTAATACATAACAAAGCAAATGTCGATATGTGGGAAGTCCCTGACTGGTAGTAGGTTTTATACTTAATGGAGTGATTTCCAGCATGTCACCTTTTGCATTACACAAAACTCTTCAATGGCAGCTGTTTTATGCAGCTAGAGAGAACAAGAGTTTCCCAGTGCAAATGTTTAACTCGCTTCAGACAAGACACTCCCTAAGGAGACGACTTTTAGCACTTCTAGTACATGACACATTGACTAGCAGGAGGTGGCAAACTATTGTAACAATGACTCACAGTTTCCGTTCAGCATATTTGTCCTTTGTATTCAAAAAGGTGGAGAGCTGTAATTCCAGGTGTATCTTTTTTTACATGTTTTACTGGTTTCCTTCAAAGCAAAGTCTGGGGCCAGGGTGAGAGCTATTGTGCTTGCATGTCTGGGAGGAAGGAATGCTTTAAATCAGGCATGGCAGAATTAGGGACTCACTTGGCTTTTTCAACTATCTGTTGCTGAGTTTCTTTGCTTCTATATGTCTCAAACTCTGCATAATCCTACACCTTTTCCTCACACATAGTTTTCAGCTACCACCTTTTTATGTCATCTTTTCCTGGCAATTATCCTCTTTTCCTTCCCTCTTTTTTAACCTCATTGCCACTCAGAAGTCAACCTACTTTCATTGCTTTGTACTTGCCTCCCCTTCAGCTCTTCACTTTCATATCACTCTTCCTGTGATGTTCATGCCACATGCAACCCAACCCTCACCCATACATGATCCCTAGGGGTATTAGAAACTGCTTTATATTAAGACAGGCCACTGGTCCATCTGTTCTAGTATTGCTGACATTGACTAGCAGTAGCTCTCCAGGATTTGCAGCAACGCTCCTTCCCACCCTTATCTGGAAAACCCTGGCATTCTCAAGGATCCCTTGTATTCTCCCATTCAGGTACTACCCACACCTGATCTTGCGTCGTTCCAAAATCAGGCAAGACTGGGTGTACAGAAAGTGGTAAGGTTCCTTGCTGCAACTTAATACAGCTCACCTTCTTGCCTCCTTGGGGTCATGTGCACACAGCCCTAAGTTAGATCTATCCTTGTGTGTCCCCCACGCACTTACATGGCTTTCCCCTAACTTGGATGTTTCCCATCGTTTCTGCCTGTTCTAAAGGATGGGAAACGTGCCTGTTCTAGATTGGCTGGATAGCTCAGTGAGATATCTGGCTGTGGATCCAAAGGTTGGGAGTTCGATTCCCCATTGTGGCACTTGGGAGAAAAGCCAGCCTGTGTGATGGCCTTGGGCAAGCTGCACAGTCTCAAGATGCCCCAGAAGAAGGGAATGGTAAAACTATTTCTGCATACTCTCAACCTAGAAAACCTTGAAAAGGGTCCCCATAAATCAGAATTGACTTGATGGCTCATTATTATTACCATTTGATCCCTGTTCTGCTGTCTCCCATTTTAAAAGCTTCATTTACTCCACCCTCTGCTTTTGATGCCTCCCACCTTGCCCTTTCCATGCTGATGTGCACGCCTTCCATGAGCTTTATACCAACTGCCGCCACTCATTTCCTTTCGGCCCTTACCGATGCTCATGACCCTGCCAAACACTGACGTGTTGTCCACCGTGCTGCAATTCCACCGTCTCTGCCGGAACTGATACTGGCACTCTTTGATGGCATTTTTGGCTCCTTCACCGATGTACATCATGTGTTCCTGATAAAGTTGGCACAACTTTCTCTGGCCTGGGGAGAGCCCTGGTAGTTGGCTGCACACGGGCTGGGCTCCGATTATGTACATCTCAGGTCTGTGAATGGGGTTCATAGCCAAAGACCTAGAAAGAGAAACAAAATTTAAAGGGAGGAAGCGCGCGCGCACACGCGCACACACACACACACACACACACACACACACACACACACACACACACACACACACACACACAAGCCTATCATCTCTTTTTGCCCAGTCACTGCCAGCCAATTTCCGCTTTGAAAGCCTAAAAACTGAGATCATATTGGGAGTGAGAGACCTTGCCTGAAATCAAAATCAAATAGAATGGGCCTTTCCTTAATTCAGAAAGAGGGTCAAAAGTGGCCAACTAGTTTGCTTCCTTTTCTTCTCCTTTTTTTAAAAAAAGGCAGCAGCCTCCTTCACTCCAGGCACAAACTATCACTTCTGGAATTAATTAAAACCAAGACAGCCAAAAGTTTCCTCCAAACTGTTAGGAAATGACCCACTCCACCCTGCACTGTGGGATCTTAGGGTAATACTCTGGCAAAACCTGCCTCCGCCTGGACCCCTTCCTTAAAGGCAACAATGCCAGGCGCTCCGCAGAAGGTGAGAAGGCCACCGCACCCCCAGGCTTTGCGCTTCCCAGCCGGCTCTGCTATCAATAAACGGGGCGTCTTTTAACTTGGAAATAGATCTTTTTGGTAACAGCCGCCCTGGTAGTCAGGAAATGCGCACGGGGATCGAGGAGGGTGCCAGAGGAGAAGAAGAGCGATGGACGGGACAGACCGCGGAGGGGAAAGAAGGGGGGGTCGGAGGGGAAAGAACCGGGCAGTGCGAAGTAGCATCTATTCAACTGGGAAGAGGTGGAGGGGTGGGATGAGCTTTTCAGCCAGTTTTCCTTCCCCCCCCCCTCTCCGTTTCTTTCTCTACTTCGCGGTCCTTTTCGAAAGATCTTTCCTGCAAAGAGAACTTCGGACCAGCAAAGGCACCGAGCCCACCGGGCGCGCAGGGCATTTTCCCAGGGGGGAACTGGAAAGAGGGCTTCCCAGCGCGCACTCCTCCTCCTCGCCCAGAGCAAACTCTCACGCGCGTTTTCTCTCTCTCTCTGTCTCTCTCTCTCTCTCTCCGGCGCGGATTTCGGGAGAGATTTCCCGTGCCCCGATGATCCTTCTTCTTCTTCTTCTTCCTCCACCCCACCTCCTGCAAAGGACAAAGAAGCCGGAGAAGAGCAGGCAGAGCCCGCCCGCCGGGTCACTCACCACCAGGAGCTGGCCGCGGCCAGGAGCTGCGTGCAGCCGCAGAGGAGACCCAGGCTGAGGAGGAGCCGCGTCCCGGGCATGGTGCCCTTTCCGCGGCTCCCGCGTCTTTGCCCGGCCAGGCTGGGAGGCATCAGGGCTCCCTGCAAGACAAGGAGGGA